TATAACCTAAAAGTGTCAAAAAAGATGCTAATTTAAAAATTCCTGGAAGCCGTATTTATTGAAATTAAGGAATGAGACTTATTCTAAATTAAAGCTCAAAGCTTTCTTTTTAAAATGATCTGTAATAATCACACCTAATAACCATTTATCAAAAATAGCTTTTTGAACAACAAAATTCAACAAGACCACTTTTTACTAAACTTCTAACCTCACATCTGGACGAATAAGTTTAAATAACCCTACAGTGCGGATTGTGTCATTTTTTATACAGATTCTTTCTTGTATATTAGAAAGTACCGACAGTTCTAAATACGCCGAATAGATGACAACAGTTTAAAATGAGTGTTTAAAATTACCGGTACTTTAAAGTACCGTCGGGACACAAAGGGTTAAAATTTGAATTGATTCGACTATATTTTAGCATTAGAAGTAGTTTTAAATTCAAAATACTTTGGAAAATAAGAAGAATATTAATTGGATCAAATCTTTTATATAATATTGGCCTCAATATTAAAATATCTAAGCTTAATCAGCCTGAATTTTGGTTAAAATTTTTGATTCCAAATTAATATTAATTGACCAGCACGTTACAACACCTCAAACTTAAGAAATCTAAGTTTAATCAGTACATTTTTATAAAGCCCACACATTGCAGCATCTAAAACTGAAGAAATCTAGGTTGATTTTGCTTGAAATATATAATTTTTGATACTTTATCAATTTTATAAGGTCCACACATTGCAGTATTGAAAACTTAAGATATTTATGCTTAATTAACCTGAAATGTAGACTTTTTGTATAAGGATAAGCCAAGGTTTCCTTGCGGCTGAGGCAAAATTTTTGATGCCTCATCAATACAATATTAGCCACCATATTATAGCATCTCAACCTAAGAAATTTAGGCTTAAGGTGGCGATTCGAACCTCTTGGGTTCATAAAATTGGTAAAAAAAATCGGTTTAGTTTCACTAACGATTAAGAGATGTCGCACCATACTCCATTTCAACAATATTCATGCATTTCTACGTACCTATCTACATGAAACGAATAAAAAAAATGGAAGGAAAAGATTTCAATATACAGCCTGTCCCGAAACTCAACGTCAAGCGGGCACCGGGTGAGAGGTCCACCCATACCATAAAAATGAGAAAAAACTTCCATGTCTCTTACTTAAGTAGTAATAGACAAATTTTTGAAAACGTTAAAAATCGGTCCTGTACATACATCATATCTTTAGGTACTACTGTCAGAAATGTTCGCAATTTAATAGTGATTTTTTTAATAATGTATTCCTTATGAACCATGCTACTGTAGAAGTAACAAATCAAACAACAAAAATCCTTAGTTTTGCAAAAAAATATATTAATTTCATTGAGTTAAGGTTGAAAGAATTTGTCTATCAAGTTTGTCTAAAAATAGGAGTAATACAACACCTTTGGCAAGTAATTTTAAAAGATGGCCTGTTTAGTCAAGTTTCCAAAATGGTAGGTCTTGTATTAGGTCTAGTAATAGTGCAAAACTAGAACTAATACTAGACCTAGAACTAGAAAGTATTGGGTTTAGCCATGCGCCTTCAGACTAAAAATTAATACATTCGAAATTTAATGTGTAAAGTGTCATATTTTTGACAGTTAATGTCATATTTTGACAGCTTTGTTGATTCTTAACTTAGCAAATTTTCGTTTTAAACTTATTGCATCGCACAGGAAATTTAAAATCCTTTAAAATGAGTCCAAACTCGACGAAAATATTGAAATTACGTCAAGAAAAACAAAATGGCGGGTTTTTTTTGTTGAATTCTTAACCTAACATTTTATTTTTTAACCTAAATAGGTCATGTTTGGTATTAAATCAAATGATTTTTGATTCTTATTACGAATATTTCAATATTTATCATAAAATAATTAAATTCGATTTTTGACATTTGACAGTTTCTAACCTAACTTAGATTTTTAAGCTTTAACCTTAATAGGTCATGTTTGGTATTAAATTAAAGCTTTCTTAATTCTTGTTAATATTATTTCAATATTTATCAATTAATTTGATTTTGACATTTGACAGTTTCTAACAAATTTATCATTCTGCAACCTAAATAGGTCGTATTTAGATCAAATTAAAGCCGTCTTGAAAAACATGTAGCTAAACCCAAATTATTCTAGTTCTTGGTCTTGTGTTAGTTCTAGTTTTACTTCAATAAAAATATGCAACAATATTTAATGCTAACTAACGCTACTTAGTCACTAGACCTAAATCTAGAAACATTCAGGTTTAGCCGTCTTAAGAATTTAAGTTTAGCCGAGTTTTTTGGAGCTTTTTTGGTTTAGTTGATAAGATGTCATTTATTAATGATGTATTTATTCTTTTCAGATTTTCTAAAAGGGAAGAAGCCCAAGCAGCAATAGCTAGTCTAGATGGGAAACAACTGGAAAAATCGATGTTTCCTCTAAGTGTGCGCGTCGCGGACGACCACAGCAAACAAAAAGCACAGTTTTTAGAGCACCAGTCGTACTTTTTGAGTAGAGGTAAGCACAAAAATTTAAAATTGAAAAAAAAAATATCGTTTATCCCCCCTGAATCCACGTTGACTTCAAATTTGATTAATTTGTTTCGGGTCATTAATTTTTGTGTATTTGTGTATTCCGATTTAATTCGTTTTATTATTTTTTTTTTTGTTAGATTTGAAGAATCAAGGTTACTAATTTTTTTCTTAATTAATTTTTTTGTTTTTGTAATTGATTCATTGACTCACCCAATTATTTTGTATTAATTTCAATGAATCAAATTATTTCTTTTTTTTTGAATTATTATTTTAATTTTTATTTTTCGGCTGTTAGGCGTTTTTTTTTTGTTTATTATAATTTAAGAGGGTTCGCTCAGAATGTTGTGAAGTAATTTTTGGGTTAGGTTTTGGCGGTGGTGGTGGTTTCCGAGGACCGTTTCCGCGCGGAGGAAACTTTCCGGGCCACCAGAGGAGCCCCAGTTTCGTAAATAGTCGGTTTTTAGGAGCCGGCGACAGCCACTTTCTCAGCTCGATGTTCTGGTAACCAAATGAAAAAATCAAAACACACGAAAAAAAAACGTAAACGAGAGAGTGATTGTAACAAGAAAAAAACCTAAGAATTTTGAAACAAGATTTGAGGAGAACCCCCCAAAAACACAAATAAGAATACAACGCGTCGTGTGGATTTGATTTTTTTTTTTTAACTCTCTCGATTCTATTTTGATTTTTTTTTTTCGTTGTTTTTAATTATTTGCTTTAGATTAAAAAAATCAAAAAAAAAATTGATACGAAAAAATGATCAAAAAAATGAGATGGAGTTGTTTATGGAAACCTGTTGGGTGATTTTATTGATAAATGAAACCAAAAAATAAATAGGCGGCTGGTTTTTAATGTTTTTTTTTTTCATTTTCTTGTTTTTTCACTTAGTTACTAGATGCGTTTTTGATTTTTCTGATTTTTGAGTTTTTTTTTGTCGTAGTAACCCTTAGTTTTTGAGGAGGGTTTTTTACCGACAGGTTTCTTTGAGTTTTTTTTTTGTTGTTTTTATTAGTTTTTGAGTTTTCCCCCGAAACCACGCCCCCGATTTGAATTTGTATTTATTTTATATATTTATTGATATCGATGTTATACGAGGAGGTTATTTTTTATACGCATTTTACAGTATTTTATATTAAAATGAATTTGAGCAGTCTTGAAACGAACTCATAAGACTGATAATAGGGCACGGAACTTTTTTTTGGAACAAAACGATACGATTTCCCCCATCCACTCGTTCTCAGCAGAAAATTTCATACAAAAGTTGTTCTAAATTAAATTCTAAAACGATTTTCTCAATAAAAAATATATATATAAACATTTTTTTGAGATTATATTCTTAATTATTGATCAAATCAAAAAGTTTTATTAACAATATTTGTTTAGAATTACTTCAGGAACAGCGTTTATTAATAAAAATTTTTGCTAACTTTAAATTTTAATTTCCCACTGAACAGTATGGTACAAAAATTAAAATTTTTGAGGTTATATCCTTATTGTTGATTTAATCAAAAAATGATGTTAACAAAATTTGTTTAGAATTACTTCAGGAACAGTGTTTGTTAATAAAATTTTTTGCTAACTTGAAATTTTAATTTCCCTCTGAATAGTATGCTATCAAAATTAATTATCTCAATAATTATTGTTTTTATCAAAAAATGTTTTAAATAAAATTTGTTTCAATTTCGATTTTGAATCAATTATCTTAATAAAAAATTTTTACATCTCTATTAATTAAGCATCTAAGTATAATTATGTATAAAAACGGAAAAATTATTATTTTGAGGTTATCTCCTTAATTATTGATTAAATCAAAAAAAATTGTTGACAAAGTTTGTTTAGAATTGTTTCAGGAACAATTTTTGTTAACACAATTTTTTTCTAACTTGAAATTTTAATTTCCCACTGAATAGTATGCTACAAAAATTAATATTTTTGAGGTTATATCCTTATTGTTGATTTAATCAAAAAATGTTGTTAACAAAATTTGTTTAGAATTACTTCAGGAACAGTGTTTGTTAATACAATTTTTTGCTAACTTGAAATTTTAATTTCCCTCTGAATAGTATGCTATCAAAATTAATTATCTCAATAATTATTGTTTTTATCAAAAAATGTTTTAAATAAAATTTGTTTCAATTTCGATTTTGAATCAATTATCTTAATAAAAAATTTTTACATCTCTATTAATTAAGCATCTAAGTATAATTATGTATAAAAACGGAAAAATTATTATTTTGAGGTTATCTCCTTAATTATTGATTAAATCAAAAAAAATTGTTGACAAAGTTTGTTTAGAATTGTTTCAGGAACAATTTTTGTTAACACAATTTTTTTCTAACTTGAAATTTTAATTTCCCACTGAATAGTATGCTACAAAAATTAATATTTTTGAGGTTATATCCTTATTGTTGATTTAATCAAAAAATGTTGTTAACAAAATTTGTTTAGAATTACTTCAGGAACAGTGTTTGTTAATACAATTTTTTGCTAACTTGAAATTTTAATTTCCCTCTGAATAGTATGCTATCAAAATTAATTATCTCAATAATTATTGTTTTTATCAAAAAATGTTTTAAATAAAATTTGTTTCAATTTCGATTTTGAATCAATTATCTTAATAAAAAATTTTTACATCTCTATTAATTAAGCATCTAAGTATAATTATGTATAAAAACGGAAAAATTATTATTTTGAGGTTATCTCCTTAATTATTGATTAAATCAAAAAAAATTGTTGACAAAGTTTGTTTAGAATTGTTTCAGGAACAATTTTTGTTAACACAATTTTTTTCTAACTTGAAATTTTAATTTCCCACTGAACAGTATGGTACAAAAATTAATATTTTTGAGGTTATATCCTTATTGTTGATTTAATCAAAAAATGTTGTTAACAAAATTTGTTTAGAATTACTTCAGGAACAGTGTTTGTTAATAAAATTTTTTGCTAACTTTAAATTTTAATTTCCCACTGAACAGTATGGTACAAAAATTAAAATTTTTGAGGTTATATCCTTATTGTTGATTTAATCAAAAAATTTTGTTAACAAAATTTGTTTAGAATTACTTCAGGAACAGTGTTTATTAATAAAATTTTTTGCTAACTTGAAATTTGAATTTCCCTCATCAAAATTAATTATCGTTTTTATCAAAAAATGTTTTAAATAAAATTTGTTTCAATTTCAATTTTGAATCGATTATCTTAATAAAAAAATTTAACATCTCCATTAATTAAGCGTCTAAGTGTAATGATGTATAAAAATGGAAAAATTATTATTTATCTCCTTAATTATTAATTAAATCAAAAAAAAATTGTTGACAAAATTTATTTAGAATTGTTTCAGGAACAAGTTTTGTTAACACATTTTGTTTCTAACTTGAAATTTTAATTTCCCACTGAACAGTATGGTGTTCTTTTAATCAAAATTTTCTAAGAACGAGTGGAGGGGGGAAATCGTATCGTTTTGTTACAAAAGTTACGTGCCCTGCTGATTAATAACAAAGTCAATAATAATGTAATCCCCCCTTTAAATTTATTGCAAAAATCGTTTTTTTTTGAGGGGGGGAATTATTTTTTTACAAAGACTGTAAGCGATTAAACGATTCTGGTCTAATCAACCCCAAAAAAATAAGAATCTAATTTTTTCTTTTTCATAGAGTTATTTATATCATTTCCTATTTTTGTTATTAATTATTTTTTTTGCAAAATCGGTTTAATTTCTCATTTTTTTCTCGCCAAACCAAAATAACAGAGAAAAAACTTGTGCAATCAATGTATTATTGTTATTTTTATTTCTATTAAACAACCTGTTATAGTTGTTTTTAGTTTTTAAGTTTTTTTATATATTTATTTTCGTTTGTAACATAATTGACTGTGTATATGGTTTTTTTTAATTATTAATATCGACCTGTTCTTGTTTTACCAATAAATGTTAATTTAAAAAACCAAACTCTATTTCATCTTTTGCGCATATTCAGAGACGACGCCCTGCGTCTCTACTCCTATATTATCCCTTTTTACGATAAACTCGACCAGTTGTAGCACGCGAGCGACGTCGACGTCGTTCCTCGACGTCCAGACGCCCTAACCCGATCAAAAAACATCGTTTCTTTCGGTTATTTAACACAAAAATGTATCAAAACAATTTTTTTTCCGCATCATTAATCAACAAAATTAACAATAAAAAAGGTAAGTCCAATTTTGATCATTAAAAAATTATTAAAACATTTTTATCACACTTGACACAAATGTGTGTCCAAAGAAAAAAAAGCCACGTGCTAAACGAGAGACTCAAGTGGCCACTTTTTACTCAAACACACAAAAAACGATCTTATTTCTTGCCTCTTGTCCCCATTTTTCTTTAATTATTTTTGCTTCCGCCTGCAAAAGCACACCACTTGAATTTTTGAAACGTTAACACTTTGGATTAAAAAAATAAATTAAAGTTAAAAATAATTTAAAAAAGTGTCGAAATAAAAAAATCTCATCGTGAAAATCTTAGTGTTTGTGCTCCTGGTGTGTGAACACAAGGGGGGCCGAAAAGGGGCGAAAAGCGAGTGAGGGGGTGAAAAGGGGGTGTTTGCTGAAGCCCCGATGCCACCCCGTATCGATTTCCCAACAAACTAGGGCTCTCTCTTTATCGAAGGTGTAACGGTTGCATTTTCGCTTTATCAAATTGTGTTTTCCCACCAAAAACTTAAAAAGGAAGAAAATTATAAACAAATTTAATATTTTGTTTTTAACATTTTATAAATTTCATAAAAAGATATCCAATTAAGATTAAATTAATTAAAAAGTAAAATTAAAATCATTTTCTAAGATGACGTAAATAAGTTTGACGTTTCTAAATTTGACGTTTGGATATAACTAGATGACAGTGTAATGAATATAATTTAACTGTTGGTAGCGCTGAAATTTCAAATTAAACCGAATTAATAATTAAATGTCACTTAGCAAAAGAAAAAATAATTTTATTATGGTTAATGGCGAATTTAATAAATAAGGAAATTGGTGGAAAACATATACAGTGTGTCCGTAAAGTCATGATACACTTTTGACCGATCACAAGAAATCAACGAATTGCTGAATTTTCCTCAGCCAATAAATAAATAAAATAAATACGACTATGTTTGTTGTAAGTCAAAGCAGCGATCCTGTCAAGGCAATTTATCATAAGCTGTAGCTGAGGCAGTGGAATTTGTTTGATTATAAGAGCAGCCATCAACATTTTTTAATGCAAATATGTTAGTTTTTAAGCCGAGGCAGCAAAACTGCAGAGGTAATAGCTTTTTAAGCTAGTTTTTTAAATATTAATCTGTTATTTGGTAGCCGAGGCAACTATACTGCTGAGACAATGGAGTTTACTTAATTGTTTACTGATTATAAAAGAAGCCATCAGAGCCTTTTTTAAGAAAATGTGTCAATTTTAACCCGAGGCAAAAGCTCATAAACTACAGCTAATAATAAAAGTTGTTTTTTAAATATTAATATGTTATTTCATAGCCGAGGCAGCTATGCTGCTGAGGCAGTGGAGTTCACTTGATTATAAAAGAAGCCATCAGTGCCTTTTTTAATGAAAATGTATTAATTTTAAGCCGAGGCAAAAGCTCATAAACTACAACTGATAATAAAAGTCATTTTTTCAATATTAATGTTATTTCATAGCCGAGGCAGCTATGCTGTTGAGGCAGCTATGCTGTTGAGGCAGCAAAGTTTACTTGATTATAAAAGAAGGCATCACAGCATTTTTTTACGAAAATGTGTTGATTTTAAGCCGAGGCAGAAGCTCATAAGCTACAGCTGATAATAAAAGTCGTTTTTTCAATACTAATATGTTATTACATAGCCGAGGCAGCTATGCTGCTGAGGCAGTGAAGTTCACTTGATTATAAAAGAAGCCATCACAGCATTTTTTTATGAAAATGTGTTGATTTTAAGCCGAGGCAGAAGCTCATAAACTACAGCTGATAATAAAAGTCCTTTTTTCAATACTAATATGTTATTTCATAGCCGAGGCAGCTATGCTACTGAGGCAGTGAAGTTTACTTGATTATAAAAGAAGCCATCAGAGCCTTTTTTTTGTGAAAATTTGTTCATTTTAAACCGAGGCAGAAACTCATAAACTATAGTTGATAATAAAAGTCATTTTTTCAATATTAATATGTTATTTCATAGCCGAGGCAGCTATGCTGTTGAGGCAGTGAAGTTTATTTAATTATAAAAGAAGCCATCAAAGCCTTTTTTTATGAAAATGTATTAATTTTAAGCCGAGGCAGAAGCTCATAAACTACAGCTGATAATAAAAGTCCTTTTTTCAATATTAATATGTTATTTCATAGCCGAGGCAGTGAAGTTTACTTGATTATAAAAGAAGCCATTACAGCATTTTTTTATGAAAATGTGTTGATTTTAAGCCGAGGCAAAAACTCATAAACTATAGCTGATAATAAAAGTCATTTTTTCAATATTAATATGCTATTTCATAGCCGAGGCAGTAGTGTGTATTTGACTATAAAAGAATCCGTCAGAGCCAATAAAAGCAATTTTCTCAATATGAATAGGTTATTTGGTAACCGAGGCAGCTGTGCTGCTGAGGTAGTGGAGTTTATTTGATTATAAAAGAAGCCATCAGACTTTTTTTCATGCAAATATGACGGTTTTAAGCCGAGGCAGTGGCTCATGACGTACAGCTGATAATAAAACTTCTTTTTTCAATATTTATGTTATTTCATAGCCGAGGCAGCTGTACTGCTGAAACAGTGTAATTTACTTGATTGTAAGAGAAGCCATTAACGCATTTTTTTAATACAAAAATGCTGATTTTAATCCGAGGCAGTATCTCATAAAATACAACTGATAATAAAAGTCCTTTTTTCAATATTAATATGCTATTTCATAGCCGAGGCAGTAGTAACTGACTATAAAAGAATCCGTCAGAGCCAATAAAAGTAATTTTCTCAATATGAATAGGTTATTTGGTGCAGCTGTGCTGCTGAGGTAGTGGAGTTTATTTGATTATAAAAGAAGCCATCAGACTTTTTTTCATGCAAATATGACGGTTTTAAGCCGAGGCAGTGGCTCATGACGTACAGCTGATAATAAAAGTTCTTTTTTCAATATTTATATGTTATTTCATAGCCGAGGCAGCTGTACTGCTTAAACAGTGTAGTTTACTTGATTGTAAGAGAAGCCATTAAAGCATTTTTTTAATACAAAAATGTTGATTTTAATCCGAGGCAGTATCTCATAAAGTACAGCTGATAATAAAAGTTGTTTTTTCAATATTAATATGTTATCTCATAGCCGAGGCAGCTATGCTGTTGAGGCAGTGAGGTTTACTTGATTATAAAAGAAGCCATCAGAGCCTTTTTTTATGAAAATGTGTTAATTTTAAGCCGAGGCAGAAGCTCATAAACTACAACTGATAATAAAAGTCATTTTTTCAATATGAATATGTTATTTCATAGCCGAGGCAGCTATGCTGCTGAGGCAGTGAAGTTTATTTCATTATAAAAGAAGGCATCAGACTTTTATTATGCAAATATGATGGTTTTAAGCGGAGGCAGTGGCTCATGAAGTACAGCTGATAATAAAAGTCGTTTTTTCAATATTAATATGTTATTTCATAGCCGAGGCAGCTATGCTGCTGAGGCAGTGGAGTTTACTTGATCATAAAAGAAGCCATCAGAACCCTTTTTTTATGAAAATGTGTTGATTTTAAGCCGAGGCGGAAGCTCGTAAACTACAGGTGATAATAAAAGTCGTTTTCTCATTATTAATATGTCATTTGATAACCGAGGCAGTTGTGTTGCTGAGGCAGTAGAGTTTACTTAATTATTAAAGAAGCCATCAGAGCCTATTTTTATACAAATATGATGGTTTAAAGCCGAGGGCAGCTGATAATAAAAGTCCTTTTTTCAATATTATATACTATTTTATAGCTGAGGCAGCTGTGCTGCTTAGACAGACCTTTTTTTATGAAAATCTGTTGGTTTCAAACCGAGGCAGTAGCTCATAAACTACAGCTAAAAATAAAACTAGTTTTCTAAATATTAATATGTTATTTGGTAGTCGAGGCAGCTTTGCTGCTGAGACAGTGGAGTGAACTTGACTATAAAAAAAGCCATCAGAGCCTTTTTAATATAAATGTGTTGGCTTTAAGCCGAGGCAGTAGCCTATAACGTACAGTTGATAATAAAAGTCGTTTTTTCAATATCAATATGTTATTTCATAGCCGAGGCAGCTATGCTGCTGAAGCAGAGGAGGTTACATTATTATAAAAGCAGAGCCTTTTTTTATGAAAATGTGTTAGTTTTAAGCCGAGGCAGTAGCTCATAAAATACAGCTGATAATAAAAGTCCTTTTTTCATAAAATTGTGTTGGTTTTAAGCCGAGGCAAAAGCTCATAAGCTACAGCGAATAATAAAAGTTGTTTTTTTAATATTAATTTGTTATTTCGCATCCGAGGCAATTATGGCAAGGTATGGCAACTATGGCCGAAGCAATGGAGGTTACTTAATTATAAAAGAAGCCACTAGAGCCTATTCTTAATACAAATGTGATAGTTTTAAGCCGAGACAGCGAAGCTGCTGAGGCAATAGTTCATAAACTACAGCTAAAAATAAGTCATTATTTCGATATTAATACTATTTCGCAGCTGAGGCAGTGGAGTTTGCTTGATTATAAGCCTTTTTTGATGCAAAAATGTTGGTTTTAAACCGAGGCAGTAGCAAATAAACTACAGCTAAATATAAAAGTCGTTTTCTCAATATTAATTTCGTAGCCGAGGCAGGTATGATGTGGAAGCAATGGAATTTACTTGATTATAAGAGAAGCCATTACAGCCTTTTTTAATACAAATATGTTGGTTTTAAGCCGAGGCAGTACTTCATAAACAAAAGGCAGCTATTTTGTTGAGACAGTAGAGAGTACTTGATTATAAAAGAAACCACCAGAACCTTTTTTAATAAAAATGTAGTTGTTGTAAGCTTAAGCAGAAAGAAAATTAGAATAGGATGGTGAGAGCCGAATGCTGAAAAGCGAATGATGCAACGAAATAGTAGTCCTGATTAGTAGTGAGTATCTAGTGAGTCTTCCTATTATAACAACATATTGTTTATGTTATTTTTGGACACACTTGGAATCAGTTGGGGACATTTAGACACACATTTAAACATACTTAGAATCAATCGGGGATATTTAGACACACATTTAAACATACTTAGAATCAATTGGGGACATTTAGACACACTTAGAATCAGTTGGGGACATTTAGACACACTTGGAATCAGTTAGGTACGTTTAGACACACTAATCCCACCAATGGAGCACGTGATATGGACAAACAAAATAGCAGAGCTTCGCTTCTTGTAGCAACGTCTAGACCAAAACGGTTTTACTTGGAATAAGTTGGGCTCATTTGGACACACTTGAAACTAATTGGGGACATTTAGACACACATTTAAACATACTTAAAATCAATCGGGGATATTTAGACACACATTTAAACATACTTAGAATCAATTGGGGACATTTAGACACACTTAGAATCAGTTGGGGACATTTAGACAAACTTGGAATCAGTTAGGTACGTTTAGACACACTAATCCCACCAATGGAGCACGTGATATGGACAAACAAAATAGCAGAGCTTCTTATAGGAGCGTTCTAGATTAAAATGGTTTTACTTTGAATCGGTTGGGCATATTTGGACACACTTGGAACTAATTGGGGACATTTAGACATACATTTAAACATACTTAGAATCAATTGGGGACATTTAGACACACTTGGAATCAGTTGGGGACATTTAGACATACTTGGAATCAGTTTAGACACACCAATTTCGCCATTGTAGATAATTGTTAATAACTTAAATAATGAAATAATGATTTATTTGTGATTAAAAATTGAAAATTAGACTTATTTTTAAATTCGTTCGACAAAGAATCATTTTTTAAAAAACACCTATTAATTTCAAACTTTAACACGCGACGTCACTTTCGTGTCAAGCTCCGATAATTGCCTTTAGCAAAGTTCGCCAGATGGCGTGCGAACGTTTCGAGATTGTGGCGCGAAAAATGAATCGATTATTTTTATTTCTAGAAGAAAAATTTTCTCACAAATGGCTCCAAAACTTTTCCGAATAACCTAAAGAAACGCAAACGGAAAAAGAAAAACTTTCCAAACGACATGGATGAATCCCCATGTCTTCCACAAGGATCTGCCTAATCTTCGGGATAATCTGCGCCTATTTATTGGTCTTATTGGTAGTTGTAGAGTTGGGATTCGGCCCGAATAAAGATCATGGATTCGCGACGAAGGTTCAAAAATGTCCGTTTCGGTTTAAAATTTCATTTTTAATGTTTCGTTTAGTTTCAGTTGGCAGAATTTACCCAGCAAACCGCGCCGAAACCGAAAAATTTAGAATACAGCATTTCCGGATTACGACCTCCGCTGAAACGAACCAAAATCGAATGGTGCTCAAATTTAAAATACATTAATCCCCCAATCGAACCGGTCGCTTTGGCCTCATTTCCCGGAAGCGGAAACACTTGGTTAAGATATTTATTACAACAAGCAACAGGTAAAACAGTTAATACACTCTTAATCATTAATTAATTAAAACAAATTTCACATTTAAACGATAAATTCAATTGAATGCCAAAAATAATTATAATTGACATTTAAAACGTCAAATTTGACATTTAAACNGTTTATTCTCTGTTTGCAAACGTTAACAGTTGGCGAACGCGCCCATTTTTTACATTTAAAACGTCAAATTTGATATTTAAACGATAAATCGGATCCAAACGTCAAAAATAATTATAAATGACATTTAAACCGTCAATTTTTTTGACATGTAAACGATAAATTAAATAAAACGTCAACAATAATTGAAAATGACATTTAAAACGTCAAATTTGACATTTAGACGATAAACCGGATCCAAACGTCAAAAATAATATTTTTTTGACATTTAAAACGTCAAATTTGACATTTAAGCGATAAATCGGATTCAAACGTCAAAAATAGTTATAAATGACATTTAAAACATCAAATTTGACATTTAAAACGTCAAATTGAACCGGTCGCTTTGGCCTCATTTCCCGGAAGCGGAAACACTTGGTTAAGATATTTATTACAACAAGCAACAGGTAAAACAGTTAATACACTCTTAATCGTTAATTAATTAAAACAAATTTCACATTTAAACGATAAATTCAATTGAATGCCAAAAATAATTATAATTGACATTTAAAACGTCAAATTTGACATTTAATCGATAAATTAAATTAAACGTCAAAAATAATTATAATTGACATTTAAAGCGTCAAATTTGATTTTTAAACGATAAATCCAATTAAATGTCAAAAATAATTATAAATGACATTTAAAACGTCAAATTTGACATTTAAACAATAAATTAAATGTAACATCAAAAATAATTGTATTAAATGTCATTTACAATTATTTTTGACGTTTCATTTAATTTATCGTTTAAATGTCAAATTTGACTTTGAAACAATAAATTGGATCCAAACGTCAAAAATAATTATTAATGGGCGCGTTCACCAGAGAATTCCGTTTACGTTGGCAAACGCAAACGGGTTACGATTGCGTTGGTGATTTGGTGAACGGCCAATTTTTCTATAGACATATGATTTGATAACAACAGATGGCGCTTTAATGACATTTATTTACAATTTTAATTAATTTATAGGTACATACCGCTCAATTTATCATGAATTTGTTCATTTTCAAAGATAGTATACACTAACCCATTAAATAAATAATTTAATCATACGATTGATAAAATGGCGGCCGTTTACCAAACACGTTTGAAGTTAGCGTTGCGTTCACCAGAAATGTTGCCAACAGTTTGGTCTCTGTTTGCAAACGTTAACAGTTGGCGAACGCGCCCATTTTTTACATTTAAAACGTCAAATTTGATATTTAAACGATAAATCGGATCCAAACGTCAAAAATAATTATAAATGACATTTAAACCGTCAATTTTTTTGACATGTAAACGATAAATTAAATAAAACGTCAACAATAATTGAAAATGACATTTAAAACGTCAAATTTGACATTTAGACGATAAACCGGATCCAAACGTCAAAAATAATATTTTTTTGACATTTAAAACGTCAAATTTGACATTTAAGCGATAAATCGGATTCAAACGTCAAAACTATTATTTTTGACATTTAAAACGTTAAATTTGACATTTAAGCGATAAATCGGATTCAAACGTCAAAACTATTATTTTTGAAGTGTAAAACGTCAAATTTGACATTTACACGATAAATCTGATTCAAACGTCAAAAATAATTATTATTTCTTCTTACATGTCAAAAATAATTATTATGTTTGACATGTAAGAAGTCAAATTTGACATTTAAACGATAAATCGGATTCAAACGTCAAAAATAATTATTATTTCTGACATTTAAAACGTAAAATTTGATATTTAAACGATAAATCGGATCCAAATGTCAAAACTAACTATTATTTTTGACATTTAAAACGTCAAATTTGATATTTAAACGATAAATCCAATTAAACGTCCAATATAATTATAAATGACATTTAAAACGTAAAATTTTACGTTTAATCGATAAATTAAATTAAACGTCAAAAATAATTATAAATGACATTTAAAACGTCAAATTTGTCATTTAAACAATAATAATAATAACGATAAATCGGTTTCAAACGTCAAAACTAACTATTATTTTTGACATTTAAAATGTCAAATTTGACATTTAGACGATAAATCGGATCCAAACGTCAAAAATAATAATTTTTTGACATTTAAAACGTCAAATTTGACATTTAAAACGTCAAATTTGACATTTAAGCGATAAATCGGATTCAAACGTCAAAACTATTATTTTTGACATTTAAAACGTTAAATTTGACATTTAAGCGATAAATCGGATTCAAACGTCAAAACTATTATTTTTGAAGTGTAAAACGTCAAATTTGACATTTACACGATAAATCTGATTCAAACGTCAAAAATAATTATTATTTCTTCTTACATGTCAAAAATAATTATTATGTTTGACATGTAAGAAGTCAAATTTGACATTTAAACGATAAATCGGATTCAAACGTCAAAAATAATTATTATTTCTGACATTTAAAACGTAAAATTTGATATTTAAACGATAAATCGGATCCAAATGTCAAAACTAACTATTATTTTTGACATTTAAAACGTCAAATTTGATATTTAAACGATAAATCCAATTAAACGTCCAATATAATTATAAATGACATTTAAAACGTAAAATTTTACGTTTAATCGATAAATTAAATTAAACGTCAAAAATAATTATAAATGACATTTAAAACGTCAAATTTGTCATTTAAACAATAATAATAATAACGATAAATCGGTTTCAAACGTCAAAACTAACTATTATTTTTGACATTTAAAATGTCAAATTTGACATTTAGACGATAAATCGGATCCAAACGTCAAAAATAATAATTTTTTGACATTTAAAACGTCAAATTTGACATTTAAGCGATAAATCGGATCCAAACGTCAAAACTAACTATTATTTTTGACATTTAAAACGTCAAATTTAATATTTAAACGATAAATTAAATTAAACGTCAAAAATAATTATAAATGACATTTAAAACGTCAAATTTGACATTTAAACAATAAATCGGATCCAAACGTCAAAAATAATAATTTTTTGACATTTAAAACGTCAAATTTGACATTTAAGCGATAAATCGGATCCAAACGTCAAAACTAACTATTATTTTTGACATTTAAAACGTCAAATTTAATATTTAAACGATAAATTAAATTAAACGTCAAAAATAATTATAAATGACATTTAAAACGTCAAATTTGACATTTAAACAATAAATTAAATTAAACGTCAAAAATAATTGTATTAAATGTCATTTACAATTATTTTTGACGTTTCATTTAATTTATCGTTTAAATGTCAAATTTGACTTTTAAACGATAAATCGGATTCAAACGTCAAAAATAATTATTATTTCTGACATTTAAAACGTCAAATGTGACATTTAGACGATAAATCGGATCCAAACGTCAAAAATAATAATTGTTTTTGACATGTAAAATGTCAAATTTGACATTTAGACGATAAATCGGATCGAAACGTCAAGACTAATTATTACTTTTGACATTTAAAACGTCAGATATGATATTTAAACGCTAAATCGGATCCAAATGTCAAAAATAATAATAAATGACATTTAAAACGTAAAATTTGATATTTAAACGATAAATCCAATTAAACGTCAAAAATAATTGTAATTGACATTTAATACGTCAAATTTGACATTTAAAACGTCAAATTTGATATTTAAACGATAAATTTGATATTTAACCTTTAAATTAAATTAAATGTCAAAAATAATTATAATTGACATTTAAACAATAAATCGGATAGAAACGTCAAAAATAATTATAAATGACATTTAAAACGTCAAATTTGACATTTAAATGATAAATCCAATTAAACGTCATAAATAATTACAAATGACATTTAAAACGTCAAATTTGACATTTAAACGATAAATTAAATTAAACGTCAAAAATAATTATAAATGACATTTAAAACATCAAATTTGACATTTAAATGATTAATCGGATCCAAACGTCAAAAATAATTATAAATGACATTTAAAACATCAAATTTGACATTTAAATGATAAATCGGATCCAAACGTCAAAAATAATTATAAATGACATTTAAAACGTAAAATTTGACATTGAAACGTCAAAAATAATTATAATTGATGTTTAAAACGTCAAATTTGACGTTAACGTTTTATTTTGATATTTTTTTTTTTAGGTTTTCATACCGGCTCAGTTTATAAAGATTACGGGCTATTAAAAAACGGATTTCCTGCAGAGAGTATCGTAAATGGATCTGTTTTGGTGGTGAAAACGCACGAGTGGGGCTCCGTGGCTAGGAGGCCATTTGCGAAGGCGGTGCTTTTGGTGAGAGCTCCCGGACCGGCTATTTTGGCAGAATTCAATCGGCAAAGTGGGGGACACATCGGATTTGCCTCTTTGGATCGATACAAAAGAAACCGAGGAAGATGTAAGAATTTTAAATAGCAATAGTAAAAAAAAAATTATTAAAGTTTTTCGCATCGATTTAGAAACACCCTGTATGGATCAATCTCATTTTACGATTGACAGTTTGTTAATTTGTCACTATTTTAGCTATTTTTTTTTTAATTTGGATCAAATTTACGCTGAAATTACAAATATGGCCAACTAATAAAAAAAAATTATCAAAATTTGCATGATGTTGATTAATTTTGCAATATCTCAAAAACTACAACTGATAGGTATAGGGACATGTACTGAAGAGTTGTAGAGAATTAAATTCTCCATCTGATAAGATAATCAAATAAGGGGTGTTCCATTTAAAATTTTCGACTTTTTTGCAATTGAACGTACTAAAACGGTAGTTACATTTTCGAACACCCTGTATAAGATGGACCGATATAACCAACGTTGCTCCATTTGTGGATATCCAAAGATAAATTATTAACTTTCCACCTCAACCACTCGCTGAGCTATTCAGATTTAAAAGAGATAGTGTTAATTACCAAAAAAAATTTCTAATTAAAATAACTCAAAAACTAAAAGCACTAGGTATCAACATATCTTATCAAAATTAACACACTTTTGTGTATAGAATCAGAATATGCAATAAAAATTATATCGTTTCAATCAAAATAAAATATATTTGTCAGTACGTCATTATGGAACACCCTGTATGTATATGCAAATTTTTTACACATAATGCACAGTTTTTTTCTCATATCTTTTTCCAGATTGGCACCAATTTGTAAACGATAAATTACGTTCTTGGCGTAACACAAATCTCGATTGGTTAAGAAACTTTACGGGTCCCACCCACGTTATCTTTTACGAACAATTAGTACAGAACGTTGAGAATACTTTAAAAACGATTCTGGATTTCCTCGAAATTCCGATAACGAAAAAACTGTTTGATTGTGCGATCCGTAGAAAGGAGGGAATTTATCGGCGAAAACGTCGAGTGTTGGCCTTCGATCCGTTCACCGCCGACATGAAGTTGGCAATGAAACGCGAACAAGAGAAGGTTTACGACGAAATCTATACGTTGGCGTCGCCGGCGAAACGAAAACGAAGAAGAAAGAGGAAGAAATAGGCGATTAGGAATTGTAAATTCGATTTGATAGTGATTTTAAATGAAAATAATAATTTTAATGTAGGGTATTTGTAAAGTTATGTAATGTTAGGTTAAAATGTGAAAAAGATGTTTTTAAGGGGGATTTTTAGAATTTAACGAGATTGTATAAACAAATTAAGGAAATTGTATGGTATAATTAACGAATACGACGAATTAAAAGATACAATACAATTTTTTAAATAATTAATGATTAACCTGCGACTGTGATCGTTTATTCCAAAAAATAAACTTAGATTTTTTTCCCGTATTAATTTAAATTAAAATTTTTTTTCGTGCCAATACAAAACAAAGCCTCGATTTAAATAGATATCAAAGCAATCAATTGTGCTAATATGTAAAAAAATCAATAATTAAATAAATTAATTAAAAAAAAATTTTTGCCATCATTGAGATTTGAACCCACCCTTTCCAAACAAGACCGCAAGTACGCCATCTATCGGTGTTTAATTTAATCGAAATTTTACCAAAAAATCTTCAAAATTAAGGTGTTAAAAGAAAATTGAACAAAAAATGAATCAAAAATCAATAATATTTGCGCATTTACAACCTAAAGAGACAATAACATAAGAAATATTTAAAAGAAAATTTCGCAACGTATAATTGAAAATCTTACCTTTTCCCGAACATCTCGAACTCGGAAAATCACTCTTATAACCGAAAAACCACCTAAATAAACTGATTCGGTCGTTTTAACATCACTAACAACGCTTTAAACAGGTTAATTTAACGAAAAAAGGAGGTGACTCGCAAGAACTAGTTTTTGACATCTTTTAATTGTAAACAACGCCATCTAGCGGTTTTTAATATAATTGGAATTTGACAATTTTGCGGAAAAAAATTCAGAATTAAGGTATTAAAAGAGAATTGAACGAAAAATGAGTCAAAAATCAATAATATTTGTTCAATTATAACCCAAAGAGACAATAACATAAGAAATATTTAAAAGAAAATTTCGCAAAGATATAATTGAAAAATCTTACCTTTTCTCGAACCAGGAAAATCACTCTTACAACCGAAAAACCACCTAAATAATCAGGTTCGATCGTTTTAACATCACTAACAACGCTTTAAACAGGTTAATTTAACGAAAAAAGAAGGTGACTCACAAGAATCAGTTCTTGACATCTCTTAACTGTCAACACCGCCATCTATCGGTGTTTAGTGTAATGGAAATTTGACAATTTTACAGAAAAATCTTCAAAATTAAGGTGTTAAAAGAAAATTGAACGAAAAATGAGTCAAAAATCAATAACATTTGCACATTTATAACCCAAAGACACAAAAATATAGCAAACATTTAAAAGAAAACTTCGCAAAGTTATAACTGAAAATCTTACCTTTATTGGAACATCTCGAACCCGGGAAATCACTTTTATAACCGAAAAACCACCTGAATAATCTGATTCGGTCGTTTTAACATCACTAACAACGCTTTAAACAGGTTAAATTAACGAAAAAAGAAGGTGACTCACATAAACCAGTTCTTGACAGCTTTTAATTGTAAACAACGCCATCTAGCGGTGTTTAGTTTAATCGGAATTTGACAATTTTACAGAAAAATCTTCAAAATTATGAAGTTAAAAGAAAAGTGATCGAAAAATGAGTCAAAAATCAATAATATTTGTGCATTTACAACCAAAAGACACACAAAATATAACAAACATTTAAAAGAAAACTTCGCAAAGTTATAGTTGAAAATCTTACCTTTGTTGGAACATCTCGAACCCGGGAAATCACTTTTATAACCAAAAAACCACCTGAATAATCTGATTCGGTCGTTTTAACATCACTAACAACGCTTTAAACAGGTTAATTTAACGAAAAAAGAAGGTGACTCGCAAGGATCAGTTCTTGACATCTTTTAATTGTAAACAACGCCATCTAGCGGTGTTTAGTTTAATCGGAATTTGACAATTTTACAGAAAAATCTTCAAAATTATGAAGTTAAAAGAAAAGTGATCGAAAAATGAGTCAAAAATCAATAATATTTACGCATTTATAACCCAAAGAAACAATAATATAACCAATATTTCAAAGAAAATCTTCGCAAAGCAATAATTGTAAATCTTACCTTTTCTCGAACATCTCGAAGCCGGAAAATCACTCTTACACCCGAAGAACCACTTAAATAATCTGTTTCGATCGTTTTAACATCACTAACAATGCTTTAAACAGGATAATTTAATGAAATGAAAAGGTTGTTCGCAAGAATCACTTTTTGACATCTTAATTGTTAACACCGCCCTCTAGTGGCGATTAAAAATTAATTTATTTAATAAATTTTTTAATTTATTTTCTTAAAACACATTAATTTATTATGAATAAAAATTAATAATTATCGAAAAATTTATTTTTATAATTCCATTTTGTTTCAAATCTTCATATTCAATAATATTAATCTTAAATTTACCACCACTAGATGTCGCATGAACAAATAGGGGGGAAAATTAAAAATTTATTTAATTATAATTTTATTAATAAATTGGAATTTATTAATTAATTAACTTGTTATAAAAAATATATGAATTACAAAAGAAATTAAAACAAAACAAAAAATCACAAAATCTTATTAATTAAACTAATTATTTTTAACCTCACTTTACTCCTACCTTTTTTTAGATTTTAAATCAAAAATTTTTTAATTATACAAATTCCACAAAGTAATTGTACCATCGCCGCTAGACGCTGCCATAACCTTTGAGCCCCAAAAATCGACAACGTTCGGCGAAAATTGTACATCGGTCACAGCCTTTTTATGCTCATTAAGCACCACCAAAACTCTCAAAGTTTTCCATGAAAACAACCTTAATCTTCCATCCCATCCTCCAGCGACTAAAATCTTCTTATCCGGCCTTATTTTAACGATTCCACATCCATCATTAATCATAGAAATTTCCGCTTTTACAATTAAATTTAAACTTTGATCAATTGCGATTAAATGTAAAATATTCGAAGCGTTTCCAATGACTCCTCTGCGAGTAATCTCATCGTAACTTATCGAAGTCACACATTCGTTTAATTTCAATTTGGAACATTGTTTACGAAAGGTGATATCAAAAAGAATTAAATAACCGGATTCGTAACCAGTTAAAAGATAATCATTTTCTTTTATCTTAAAACATTCCATACACATTACATTACCCAAATCAGTTTCTGTTGGTTTTAAACTTGCTGTTTTATTAAAATTAAGATCAAAAATAGCTATCATATCTCTTTCAATTGGGATTAAAATGTTATCTTCATGAATTAAACTCCGACAATACCCTCCATACAAATCAATTTCATTCTCCACCTCATAAATGGATGATTCGTTGATGATCCACGATTTTAAAGCTCCCGATTTCTCTTGGATTAAAATCTTTTTATCGATGCAATGAATCGCTTGGATTGATTTCCCCATTTGTTGTTTGTAGTTGACACGGTTAGATTCTAAGTCCCATAAGTAAACGTATCCTGTCTCTGTAGCTGCGAATAACGATTTTGTGTAGTCTTTTTCGTAGGGGATAAAAGCCATCGAGTGCACGTAACCCATATCGCCTTTTAATGTAAAAAGGGGGTCCGGAGGAAGTACTGCCATCGCAAAGAAGGAAATTAAGTGTTTAATCGTTCAATTTCAAACTAATTTACATGCTAAAAATTTTAAAATTAATTACGAAAGTGAGGTTATGTGGAATGCGGGAAAGTAGGAAACTGTAATTAGGTGTCAATTAATTTTGTTGGTTTTAATGTGTATTGATATAAAAAGAATGTTTTTTTGATTAATTTCAATTTATTTTAAGTTTAATTAATTAATTTAAGTTATTTTTTCAATTAATTAATTAAGCTTCAGCGCCATCTGGTGTAAAAATCGTTTTTTGACATAAAAACATTGAAAAGTTTTTTTCTAAAAGAAGTTCAAATACATGCTTTTGATGAAGTTTTGGTATGGCTAAATACAATTTTCAGTTAATTACACCACCTAACCTAAGTTCCCAACAATCACGTAGCTGTGAATAACGATTTTGTGTAATCTTTTTCGTGGAGGATAAAAGCCTTAGAGTATATAGCCATATCGCCTTTTAATGTAAAAGCCGGGTCGCAAAGAAGAAATTTAAGTGTTTAATCTTTCAGTTTCAAACTAATTACATGCTAAAAATTTTAAAATGAATTGCTAAAGTGAGATCATGTCGAATGGGGGATAATAGGAAACTGTAATTAAGTGTCAATAAATTGTGTGGTTTTCAATGTTTATTAATATAAAAAGGATGTTTTTTTAATTAATTTTGATTTGTTTTAATATATTTTGAGTTTAACTAATTAATTTAGCTTATTTTTTGAATTAACTAATTAAGTTTCAGCGCCATCTAGTGTACAAATCAATCATTTTTAAAACTTTAATTTGACGGAAAAACATCGAAAAAGTACATATTTTTGATGAAGTTTTGTATGGGATAAATACAAGAAGAGAAGAAAATTAAGTGTTCAGTTTCAAACTAATTTACATGCTAAAGATTTTAAAATAAATTGCTAAAGTAGGGTTATGTAGAATGGGAGAAAATAGGAAACTGTAATTAAGTGTCAATAAATTTTGTTGTATATTGATATAAAAAAGATGTTTTTTTTAATTAATTTTGATTTCTTTTAATGTATTTTGAGTTTAATTAATTAATTTAAGTTATTTTTTGAATTAATTAATTAAGCTTCAGCGCCATCTAGTGTATAAATCATTTTAAAAATGTGCTTTAATTTGACACAAACATCAAAGAAGTTGGGTTTTTTCTAAAAAAAAGTCCAAATACATGTTTTTGGTGAAGTTTTAGTATGGGGTAAATACAATTTTCAGTTAATTACACCAGCCAACCTAAGTTTACAACAATCACGTTTGATTATTTCCTTTAATGCGTTTGAGGTATTATTTTTAGAGTTAATTTTATCGAAACCCATCGTTTATTCCGTCTCTACGTAAAATTGCTACAGAGACAGGATGTAGGTGTGAATAATGATTTTGTGTAGTCTTTTTCGTAGGGGATAAAAGCCATCGAGTGCATGTAACCCATATCGCCTTTTAATGTAAAAAGCGGATCCAGAGCAAGTACTGCCATCGCAAAGAAGGAAATTAAGTGTTTAATCGTTTAGTTTTTACATGCTAAATATTTTAAGACTAATTGCGAAAGTGAGGTTATGTGAAATGGGGGAAAATAGAAAACTGTAATTGAGTATCAATAAATTTTGTTGTATTTAATGTTTATTAATATAATACGATCTTTTTTTTAAATTAATCTTGATTTATTTTAATATATTTTGAGTTTGATTAATAAATTTAAGTTATTTTTTGAGCTTAAAAAAGATTTAATAATTCGCTTCAGCGCCATCTAGTGTAAAAATCATTTTTAAAACGTGCTTTAATTTGACACAAAAACATCGAAAAAAGTTCGGGTTTTTTTCTAAAAAAAAGTCCAAATACATGTTTTTGGTGAAGTTTTAGTATGGGGTAAATACAATTTTCAGTTAATTACACCACCCAACCTAAGTTCCGAACAATCACGTTTGTTTATTTCCTTTAATGCTTTTGAGGTTATGTTACAATAAATTTTCCACTTAATTTTGTATTATTTTTAGAGTGAATTCTATCGAAACCAATCGTTTGTTCCGTCTCTACGTAAGATTGCCTATTAAAATCGAATCGGAAGCTCAAATTAGGGAGCTTCATGAAGAAATTGTAAAAGTTTGGCTGCCGAGGCAGAAATCTCGCCGTTGGTGCATCATTGGTTTTAACGACACCGATACGCTTAAAAAAGCGCTCGTTGCTATTAAACGTAAAAAAATAAACGAAAAGAAAGTCGTTGTACGAGAATACAAAGTTAAAAATATAGAATAAACAAAATTAAGATAATCAAGATAATCATAACCTCATTTTTTTGGAAAACCTAACCTCAATCAAAAAAGTAATTTAATAAACATGGTTCATCACTTTATTGGAAACCCGTATAAAACGGATATGTCAGATTCGGATGAAGCAGATTTCCCAATTGATGATCCTTTCGATGATCACTCAGAAGATAGCGGCTCGGTGGTTGATTTTGAAGAAAATTTTGATGAAGAAGACGATAATTATGATTTTAGTCTGGACGACGGTAGCGATACCGTTTACGATTCAGACGAACCCGGCCCACCGATACCCGATTACGAGGAAGAAATCGAGGAATCAGACGAAAACAACGAAGAAAGCGACGAAGAACAACCATCGTCGGTTATAGTCAAAGAAAACGAGACTTGATTTCGCCGAATCTTCAATTTAAATAAACGTTGTAATTAGATTATTATTATTTTTGTTAAAATAACACTTGTTTATTCTTTTTGTAATATAACGGTATGTATTAAAGAAATAATATTGGTTTAAGAAGAATAAGTTTTGAAATTCCCGCTTATTTGTTGTTTTAAGTCAGTTTCCGATAGATGTCGCTAAAATTTGACAGTCCAAGCGCGACAGTAGCCATCTTTGCAAATAGCCAATTCGTTATACAATATTCTCAAGAAAACGACCCCGAAATCTTGGCCCGGCGAATTTTCCGATTGCATTTCACAACCCTTTTGAAGCACCAACAATCATCGATATCATTAAAACGGTAAGTTCGCGTAATTTCGGTTATTTATTATTTGACAGTTTCGCAATGTTCCTGCTGCCACCGACCGATTTTAATTATTTTTTTGGTCTTTTACTTTTTGGGGCCCACATTTTCAATGAGAAGAAACAAAAAAGTTCTTTGTTTATCTTTGTGGTATAAAAAAATTAAGGTACAAAGTCTTTTTTGGAATGATTAGAATAATTTTTTTTTTTAATTTGTTTCATTTTAATCGTTTTTTTTTGTGATTCAGGTGAGGTGAGCACGTTGTGACTAGAGTTTTGGCTTTTGTTGGAGGTGTGCCAAAGAAATTTCGCTTGTAATGCTGCAACCTGCTTTGTTTTGATCCGTAGGGGACTCTCAAGGATCTTTTTGTAACATTGAGAGGAGTAAGATGTTTCGTTTTAATAGAAATTGAATTTGCGAAAAGGATTTTTATTAAAGGTAAGAATAACTTTATCAAGCACTCAATAAAATACCTCACTTTGTTCCTTAATGTCCAACGAAAACATCAAAACCCCTGATAAGATAATCCATAATCACGTTTTTGTTACTAAAATAAAGGAGGAAATTAAATTTGTGTGACTTGTTATGTTATCAAAAGTGTTTGAGTATTTATTTTTTGGTTTTTGGAGGATGGACACCACGGACCAGCCGAATTCGATTTGTCACGTGCGCCCCATCCAGATGTACCCAATGCCGCCTACTACCGCTGATAAAATCGACCTCCCCTTCGTGCTTTTAGCTGGGGAATCAGTTACAAGAACCGGAACCTCCGTCGACGGACTTTTAGTGTTAACCAGCTACCGGCTTTATGTTCAATTATGCGACACCCAACATCACATCCCATTGGGATTAATCGAAAGCGTCGAACAAAGGGAATTGTTTCATTTACACATCAGTTGTAAGGATGCGAGGAGTTTTCGGTAAAAAATTTCTTTTAGGTATAATTCAAGAATCATCATTTCGCTTAAAAATCGCTTTAATCGACGAAAAATCGCTTTAAAGTCATTGTTTAACCTGATATCCTACCCCCCTCTTTAACTTATTGGTTCCTAAATGCTAGATACTGTTGGCAAAAGACTAATTATTGCTATTAAATGATTAAATACTGCTAGTGAAAGACTAAAAACTGCTTGGAAAGAAGAAATATTATTTCAAAAAGTTACCTACTGGTTCTAAAATGCTAGGTACTGCAGAAAAAGACCACATCTTACTTGGAAAAAACTTGGTATTGTTTCCAAAATGCTAAACATTGCTGTTTTAACCACTTATTGCTTGCAAAGACTTTAATAATTGTTTGGAAAAGAGATATGCTTCCCAAAAAGTTACCTAATGCTGCCAGAATGTTAGATACTACAAGAAAAGACTAATAATTAGTTGGAAAGAAGAGATATGGGCTCCAAAAATGTTAGATACTGGTAGAAAAGATTACAATCTGCTTGGAGAAGATTAGATACTGCTAAAACACAACTACAAACTGATTGGAAAGATGAGATACTGTATCCATAAGACTACTTACTGCTTTCACAGCGCTATATACTACTAGAAAAGAGAACGACCTGATTGGAGAAGACAAATACTGCAGGGAGAAACTATTATTTGCTTGGAAAGATAAGATACTGTTTCCAAAATGCTAAACACTGCTGTTTTAACGTTTTGACCTACTTGGACAGGTGGAATACTGCTTCAAAGACTACTTATTGCTTTCAAATACTTTAATAATTGTTTGGAAAAGAGATATGCTTCCCAAAAAGCTACCTAATGCTGCCAGAATGTTAGATACTACTGGAAAAGACTAATAATTATTTGGAAAGAAGAGAAAAGATTACAATCTGCTTGGAGAGGATTAAATAGTGCTAAAAAACAACTACAAACTGATTGGAAAGATGAGATACTGTATCCATAAGACTACTTACTGCTTTCACAGCGCTATATACTGCTTCCAAAAGACTATTAACTACTTTCAGACTGCCAATTAACATTCTAACTGTCAAATTTGATCATTTTGCATCACAAGACGATTTTAATATCAAAAGTGATATCTAAATGACAAAATTGACATTCTAAATGACATATTTACCTGATTTTCTGCTTCCATTTAACATTCCAACTGTCAAATTTGATCAATTTTCATCACAAAAAGATTTTAATGTCAAAAATGACATTTAAATGACATCTTAAAAATTAAATTATCAATTTTATTACAATTTGACGTTCTAAATGATATGTCAACCTCAATTTTTGCTACCAATTGACGTTCTAACTGTGAAATTTGATTAGTTTGTGTCACATGAAGATCATTTAGATGTCACTTTTAACATTAAAATCTGCCTGTGATGTTAAATGCTCAAATTTGACAGTTAGAACATCAATTGGTAGCAGAAATTGAAGTTGACATGTCATTTAGAATGTTAAACTGTAAGAAAATTGTAAATTTAAACTATAAGATATCATTCAAATGTCACTTCGACATTAAAATCTTCTTATGATGCAAAATGGTCAAATTTGACAGTTAGAACGTCAATTGGTAGCAAAAATTGAGGTTGGCATGTCATTCAGAATGCCAAACTCTAAGAAAATTATAAATTTAATCTTTAAGATGTCATTTTTAACATTAAAATATTTTTGTGATGAAAAATGATGAAATTTGACAGTTAGAATGACAATTAGTAGCAGAAAATAAAGTAAATATGTCATTTGGAATGTCAAATTTCAAAAATGACATCTAAATGTCAGCTTAAAGACAAAATTAACAATTTGACATTTTGAATGACATATTTACCTTATTTTCTACTTCCAATTGACATTCCAACTGTCAAATTTGATCAATTTTCATCACAAAACGATTTTAATGTTAAAAATGACATTTAAATGACATCTTAAAAATTAAATTAACAATTTTCTTACAATTTGACGTTCTAAATGATATGTCAACCTCAATTTCTGCTACCAATTGACGTTCTAACTGTGAAATTTGATTAGTTTGCATCACATGAAGATCATTTAGATGTCACTTTTAACATTAAAATCTGCTTGTGATGTTAAATGATCAAATTTGACTGCTAGAACATCAATTGGTAGCAAAAATTGAGGTTGGCATGTCATTCAGAATGCCAAACTTTAAGAAAATTGTAAATTTAATCTTTAAGATATCATTTAAATGTCATTTTTAACATTAAAATCTTTTTGTGATGAAAATGATGAAATTTGATAGTTAGAATGACAATTAGTAGCAGAAAATAAAGTAAATATGTCATTTGGAATGTCAAATTTTAAAAATGATAATCTAAATGTCAGCTTAAAGATAAAATTAACAATTTGACATTCTGAATGACATATTTAACTTATTTTCTACTTCCAATTGGTATTCTAAATATCAAATTTGATCATTTTTCATCACAAAAAGATTTTATTATCAAAAATGACGTTTAAATGACATCTCAAAGATTAAATTTACAATTTTCTTACAGTTTGACATTCCAAATGATATGTCAACCTCAATTTTTGCTACCAATTGACGTTCTAACTGTCAAATTTGTTGATTTAACTATCAAATTTGATCATATTGCATCACAAGAAGATTTTAATATCAAAAAAGACATTTGAATGACATCTTAAAGATTAAATTTACAATTTTCTTACAGTTTGATCGTCAAATTTGTCGTTTTGGATAATTTGATAAAAGATGAGTTTTATTTAATTTTTCAAGTTCCACATGACGTTTAAATGTCAAATTTGACGTTTTGGGCAATTTGATAAACGTTAATAGTTATTTAACCAACAAGTGTATTAATCGCATTTTAATATACGAATTAGTTACAATATTTTTCCGTTGACTGCTTTTCAAGAAAATAGAGAAAATCACCATTGAAAAATCACCGAATTCTATCACTGGCAAACTTTAAGAAAGTCCGACCGAATTAATATAGTAGTCGATTTAGTAAATATTCTCGAATGAAACCTGTAATACCGACCCAACCGACCACTATATCTATTCGGTAAGATTACAATAATAAGTTTTGACTTTTGACACATTAAAAGTGAGGTTATTTTTATATTAATAGGTGTCATTAATGAATGATTTTCTATACATTTATAAATCATATAAATACACGGTCGACGGAAAATTTTAATTAATTTATTCTCTAAATTCAAAATGACGTTTAAATGTCAAATCATCATTGGCTACGTTCATTTACAATTTTCTTACAGTAAATAACATTAATTATTGTTACCATTTGACGTTCTAACCGTCAAATTTGATTATTTTGCGTCACAAAAAGATTTTAATATCAAAATAACATCTTAAAGACTAAATTTACAATTTTCTTGCAGTTTGACATTCTAAGTGACATGTCAACCTCAATTTTTGCTATTTTAATTTCAAAAGTGACATCTAAATGATAGCTTAAAGACAAAATTAACAATTTAACATTCTAAATGACATATTTACCTTATATTCTGCTACCAATTGACGTTCTAACTATTAAATTAGATCATTTTTCATCACAAAAAGATTTTAATGTCAAAAATGACATTTGAACTTTCTTTACTTATCGTTAGTTTGTTGGAACGGATTAAAAATTGTGCGAACGGTTTATAGCCAATCCACCCGGGAGTTTATCAAGCATAATTTACGATTTTAAATTAAATCCGTTAAGTTAATTCATTTCATGCACCTACCATATAATGTGTAATAAGATTTGACAGGAAACATAACCTTAATACCATGTTGCAATAATGGGCACGTTCATTAATTACAAACGGTTCTTAACCAATACAAATATGCCATAATATAAACTAAGTTCTTATATGAACGTAGCCAATGATGATTTGACATTTAAACGTCATTTTTAATTTAGAAAAATTAATTAAAATTTAACGTTTATTAAACCCGTTTATTTACCCAAAACGTTAAATTTGACATTTAAACATCATGTTGAACTCGAAAAATTAATTAATTAAATCATTTTATTTAAATTTACAATTTTCTTACAGTTTGACGTTCGAAATGACATGTTAACCTCAATTTTTTTTTACCAATTGACATTCAAACTGTCAAATGTGAACATTTAGCATCACAAGAAGATTTTAATGTCAAAAGTGACATTTAAATGACATCTTAAAGATTAAATTTCCAATTTTCTTACAGTTTGAAGTTATACGTTGTAATCTCACCTAGTTTAGTGACAATAACTTTACTTTAAAGTTTATTAGATTGATTTTGTGATTTTTCGGTATGTTCTATACTTTTTCGCACTTTATTTTTAAGCCACATGTTGATTCTTGAATTTTCCAAATTTTATTTAACCTCAATTTTAAATAATAATTGTTTTTAATTTTTAGGTGTACGTTTGATAATAACGAGACATGCTTAGATTGGAACAGTCAGTTGATTAAGGCATCGTTACCTCCTCGTCAATTGGAAGAGTTGTTCGCCTTTTATCATTACGTTTGGAGTCGTGAAAAAGGGGGCGACGATGTCGCGCAGAAAATCGACGCCCAAAAAGCGCTTCTTTATGACGAGGCCGCGTTTAAAAACGAATTCACGCGATTAAAATTCGATCAAAACGGAACTTGGAGGATATCCTCTGTAAACGCATCTTATAAACTTTGCCCGAGTTATCCACCATCGTTGGTGGTGCCATCTTGTATCAGTGATGTTACTTTGGAAACGGTGGCTAAGTTTAGAAGTTCTAGGAGGATCCCAGCTGTTGTGTGGAGGTTATTTTTTGTGAATTAATTAATTATTTGTATTTATAAATAATTTTTTTAGGCACACAAGAAATGGGGCTGTTATAGCGCGTTGTAGCCAACCGGAAGTGGGTTGGTTAGGTTGGCGTTCCGCGGAAGATGAGGAATTATTAAAAGCGCTCGCCGATGGGTGTTCGTACGATATTGGGGACCTCCCCATCGATAAGGAATATTGTATCTCTCATTCTCCTGGATCTGTGCATTCTGAAGATTCAGGGCAAACACAATCAGTCGCTGATATTTTAGAACGAAAAGTAATTTAAATGTTCTTTACGAAAAAGGATTTATAATGTTGTGTTTTTATTTTAGAAGGTGTTAATTATGGATGCAAGATCTTACACGACGGCTGTGGCAAATCGGGCGAGAGGGGGTGGATGCGAATGTCCCGAATATTATCCATGCTGTGAAATACAATTTATGAACTTGGCCAATATCCATTCCATAAGAAAAAGTTTTCATGCGTTAAGACAACTTTGCACATCATCAGCTGATCAACCAAAGTAAAAAATCAGTTTAACTCTAACAGTTAACATAACCTTAATAGATATTAAAAAGATAATGTGCTTAAAAAATTGGAACAAATTAAAAGTTATAGGCCAATCCAGCCTGGAGTTTATCAAGCACAATTTACGCTTTTAAATTAAATCTGTTAAGATAATTCATTTCATACACCTATCATATAATTGTAATAAGATTTGACAGGAAACATAACCTTAACACATCATGTTGCAATAATGGATGCGTTCATTAATTACAAGCGGTTTTTAACCAATAGAAATATTCCGTTCGTCAAATTATCATGGCAACCCTAAATTGAATTCATATATGAACGTAGCCCATAATGATTCGACATTTAAACGTCATTTTTAATTTAGAAAATAAATTAATTAAAATTTAACGTTTATCAAATTATTCAAAACGTCAAATATGACATTTAAACGTCATGTTGAACATCATAAATTAATTAAACTTAACTTTTATCAAATTATCCAAAACGTCAAATTTGACATTAAACGTCATTTTAATACAGTTTGACATTCCAAATGACATGTCAACCTCAATTTTTACTACGAATTGACGTTCTAACTGTCAAATTTGATCTTTTTGCATCACATGAAGATTTTAATGTCAAAAGTGACATCTAAATGATAGCTTAAAAACAAAATTGACAATTTTACATTCTAAATGACATATTTAGCTTATTTCCTGCTACCAGGTGATATTCTAACCATCAAATTTGATCATTTTTTATCTCAAGAAGATTTTAATGTCAAAAATGACATCTTAAAGATTAATTTTATGATTTTCTTAAAATTTTACATTCTAAATGACATGTCAACCTCAATTGTTACACTACCAATTGATGTTTTAACTGTCAAATTTGATTATTTGACATCACACGAAGATTTTTTACGTCAAAAGTGACATCTAAATGATAGCTTAAAGACAAAATTGACAGTTTGATGTTCTAAATGATATATTTAGCTTATTTTTTACTACCAATTGACATCTAACTGTCAAATTTGATCATTTTGCATCACAAGAAGATTTTAATGTCAAAAACGACGTTTGTATGACATCTTAAATATTAAATTTACAATTTCCTGACAGTTTGACATTCTGAATGACATGTCAACCTGATTTTTTGCTACCAAATGACATTCTAACTATCAAATTTGATCATTTTTCATCATAAGTAGATTTTAATGTCAAAAGTGACATTTGAATGACATCTTAACGATTAAATTTAGAATTTGACATTCTAAATGATATGTCAACCTCAATCTTTGCCACCAATTGACGTTCAAACTGTTAAATTTGATGATTTTGCATCACAAGTAGATTTTAATATCAAAAGTGACATTTGAATGACATCTTAAAGATCAAATTTGACAGTTGGACATTCTGTATGACATGTCAACCTTAATTTTTGCTACCAACTGTCGTTCTAACTGTCAAATTTGATCATTATGCATCACAAGTAGCTTTTAATGTCAAAAGTGACATTTAAATGACATCTTAAAGATTAAATTTACAATTTGACATTCTAAATGATATGTCAACCTCAATCTTTCCCACCAATTGAGGTTCAAACTGTCAAATTTGATCATTTTGCATCACCCGTAGATTTTAATATCAAAAGTGACATTTGAATGACATCTTAAAGATCAAATTTGACAGTTTGACATTCTATATGACAAGTCAACCTTAATTTTTGCTACCAACTGACGTTCTAAGTGTCAAATTTGATCATTATGCATCAAGATTTTAATGTCAAAAGTGACATTTGAATGACATCTTAAAGATTAAATTTTCAATTTTCTTACAGTTTGACATTCTGAATGACATGTCAACCTTAATTTTTGTTACCAATTGACGTTCTTGTCATTTAAAATCTTCTTGTGATGAAAAGTGATCAAAGTTGACAGTTGAAAAGTCAATTGGTAGGAAAAATTGAGGTTGACACGTCATTTAGAATGTCAAACTCTAAGAAAATTGTAAATTTAAACAAAATGATATTTAATGTCAAATTGGGTAATTTGATAAACGTTAAATTTAAATTAATTTATTTTCTAAATTCAAAATGACGTTTAAATGTCAAATTATCATTGGCTACGTTCATTTATAATTTTCTTACAATTTGATTGACGTTCCAAATAACAAATTTGATTATTTTCTNCGTATTGGGTAATTTGATAAACGTTAAATTTAAATTAATTTATTTTCTAAATTCAAAATGACGTTTAAATGTCAAATTATCATTGGCTACGTTCATTTATAATTTTCTTACAATTTGATTGACGTTCCAAATAACAAATTTGATTATTTTCTATCAAATAGATAAAATTTGTCAAAAAAGTGACATTTGAATGATGTTTAAAGATTAAATTTACAATATTTAATCGTCTTTAAAGACGTGGTGCATTGACAATTACAAATGCTTGACAGTTGTCATACCGTTAAGTCAAATAAAGTAATTTTTTTCTTTTTTAAAGTTGGTACAGCCTCTTAGAAGGGACAAGATGGCTCCAACACATGTCGGGAGTAATCCGAGCCGCTGTAACCCTCGTAAGCGCCATCGAAAGAGAAGCAAGACCCGTTTTGGTTCATTGTTCCGACGGTTGGGATCGAACGCCCCAAATAGTCGCTTTAGGACAACTTTTATTGGACCCATATTACCGAACTGTCAATGTAACATAACCCCACTTTCTTAAATTTTAAAATTTATTTTTTTAAATAGGGTTTTAGAATCTTGGTGGAAAAAGAATGGCTTTCATTCGGTCACAAATTCGCCGATAGATGTGGCCACGCGACCGGAAGTGAAGACCAAAACGAACGATGCCCCGTTTTCCTGCAATGGCTCGATTGCGTCCATCAATTACTGAGACAATTTCCATGCAGTTTCGAATTTTCTCACGCGTATCTCGTCAAATTGGCCCAACACACTTATTCGAACCTCTTTGGAACGTTTCTTTGCAACACTAAGCAGGAAAGAGTCGATCGGGTTAACGAGAATACATTTTCCGTTTGGGGATTTTTAAACGCCCCTTGTTTTCGGAATCATTTGTATGCACCAATTAAACTCGATTCCCCACAGGTAATAACATAACCTATATTCTATTTTTAAATTCGGAGGAGTGTTTTGAAATTGAATTGAACTTCCAGTTAGAAATGTCAACCTCAATTTTGATATATTTGTAATTTTCATTAAAAATCCTTTAAAATGAGTACAAACACGACATATTTATCTTCAATATTAATGAAGTTATGGTCAACTTCCGGTTAAGAATGTCAACCTCAATTTTGACATATTTGTAATCGTCGTGATAAATCCTTTAAAATGAGCCCAAACATGATATGTTTAATTCCAATATTACTCGAGATATAAGCAACTTCCGGTTTGAAATGTCAATGTCATTTTGATGTATTCTTAATTTTATAAAATGTCTTAAAATTTGTCACAAAAACAAAAATATAACAAAAAAAATAATAAAAAATTAAGGTTGGTATTAATATTTAAAAATTATATTGTATCGTCATTGTTGCCAACTTCGCGTTTAATGTTTTTTAGTCTAACTTTTTTGCTTTTTGAGATAAATGCCTCATGTTTGGACTCATTTTAAAGGTCTTTTAATGAAGATGACAAATATGTCAAAATTGACGTTGACGTTTTAAACCGGAAGTGATCATATCTTCATTAATATTAAAGTTAAATATGTCGAGTTTGGACTCATTTTAAAGGATTTTTTATGAAGTTGACAAATATGTCAAAATTAAAAGTTGAAAGCTCGAACTTTTTGGTTTTTTGAAATAAATGCATCATGTTTGGACACATTTTAAAGGTTTTTTTAATAAAGAATACACATGAAAGAACACTATGAATTTCCGGTTAGAAATGTCAACCTAAATTTTGACATATTTGTAATCTTCATTAAAAATCCTTTAAAATGAGTACAAACACGACATATTTATCTTCAATATTAATGAAGTTATGGTCAACTTCCGGTTAGAAATGTCAACCTCAATTTTTACATATTTGTAATCGTCGTGATAAATCCTTTAAAATGAGCCCAAACATGATACGTTTAATTCCAATAATACTCGAGATATAAGCAACTTCCGGTTTGAAATGTCAATGTCATTTTGATATATTCTTAATTTTATAAAATGTCTTAAAATTTATCACAAAAACAAAAATTTAACAAACAAAATAATAAAAAATTAAGGTTGGTATTAATATTTAAAAATTATATTGTATCGTCATTGTTGCCAACTTCGCGTTTAATGTTTTTTAGTCTAACTTTTTTGTTTTTTGAGATAAATACCTCATGTTTCGACTCATTTTAAAGGTCTTTTAATGAAGATGACAAATATGTCAAAATTGACGTTGACGTTTCAAACCGGAAGTAATTGTATCTTCGTTAATATTGAAGTTAAATATATCGAGTTTGGACTCATTTTAAAGGTTATTTTATAAAGATTACGAAAATAGTAATAAAATTAAAGTTGACATTAACTATGTTTAAATAAATTACTCCCTTTGAAAAATTACACTGTGTAAACTTGACTTTTCATTTTACTCCTCCGAATTAAAAAATAAAATCAAAATTAATATAATCAATTAATTTATTTGATTATTTTAAAGGTTTTATGGCCTCAATGTAACGTGCGAGACTTACATTTATGGACGGAGGTGTATTTGGGGTCATTAGAAAGGCGTTCGACCGTCGAAAGTGGGTGTAGTTCTTGTCCGGGACCTCCGGAAGATCCGATTTCGCAACATATGACTAAAACTCGATCGTACGGTGATTTACCGAACGCTTCCGAGAATTCGCAAACCCATTTTAGACGTAGTAGTGACTCAGGAATAACTGCAGATTCGATGTGAGTTAAATGTAAAGGATTAATCTTAAATTAATCGTTTAATTTTTAATTTTTTGTTAGAAAAATAAATTCTTTAACCGTGGAGGATAAACCCCCTCAAGCGGATGATTCAAATCCCCCAATTAACGGTTGTGACGATATAATGACACCCCCGAATGATTTTTTATCTGGGGAGCTCGACGAGATCGACTGCAAAAGTGACTGTTTATACAAAGACGAGCGTAGTGCGAACGAAGAGGATTGCGAGGACGATCCGTTTCCTACATTAGTAAACGGAGGCGCTCTCGCGGGTGATAACGAATCGGGGGTTCACGCGATGGGCGACGCGACCGCGAAAATAAAGACTGAAAATAACGATAACGAGGCGGTTTTTGAAAGTATTTGTTTAAAAACGCCCCCTTCAGAACAATTAAGTGGCGAATTAGGTAGCGATGTGATTCGGTGTAGTGTCGCTAGGGGCGCTTCATCCACAACGCTAACGCCATCTGTAGGGGATGACGTCGACTCCGACACCGAGTGCACCGAGCCCAGCGAAGGTCGATCTGAAAATACCGTCGTTTGTGATGTGCGGAGTGTCGATAATGTTTTGGATTCGGTCGAAACTAGTACTGAGACTTTGGTGTCTGAAATCGTTGTTAATAGGTGGGTTATTCTTGAATGTTTTTGATTTAAATTTAATCATTTCGTTATAGTTTACCAAAACCTATCAATGGGATTGAAAAAATAACCAATGTGGATACTTACAATGGAAATGGAAGTGATTCTTGTAAAACGTGCACTCAAAATAGGAGGGTTATTAATTGTAAACACAGGTTTGTTTGTTAAAAGAAATATAAAAAAATATTTTTAGGTTAGGTTAAATTAAATTAAATGTCAAAATAATGGAATGAAGTTGGATATGAAAGTAACTAAAATAATCGAATGAAGTTAGTTATGAAAGTAACTAACTTCATTCATTTCATATTGATATAAAATAACCTCAAAAAAAAATCGCTTGAAATTGAAAGGCGATCTTTATTGATTTTTGGGTGCTGAATCCAGGAAAAAAACTTTCAGGTGTTAATGACAACGTTAATTTTATTATTATATTCGTAACTTTGATTATATATAATATGGATTGAGCTAAGATGCTTCAAGATCATAGAAAAATAAATATAAATATATTTATATATAGAAGCATTACTCCCCACTATTTTTTCGGTCAAATTGATTTCAACGCCTCTAGTGGTCTGTGGTACCTACTACTTTTAATAAAGCGCGAAATTTAAAAGTATTTTTATTCAGTTAATGGTTATTAATTATTGATTTCAAACTTCCACCAGTCAACATGAAAATGATAACAGTAAAGGTATCATTTTCATGTTGACTGGTGAAAATTTGAATTTTGTTTTCACTTCGTTTTGTCTGCAACAAAACGCCTGCACTTTCGACTCTTCAGAGTACCACGAGAAAAAATGAAAGGAATTTTGGCGTAATGTCATCAATAGAACGACATAGTTTTAAAGTTCCCGCTTGACTTTCAAAATGGCGGCAAACAGCGGTACTTTGTAAATCTAGGCACTTTAAGCAATTTGTGCTTACAGTGCCATCTAGCCGTCCGTGGTACCCATTAAATATCTGTCTTTTTTTATACGTATTGAGTTAACACACCGTGTTCAAGATGAATAGACGCAGATGAAAAGCGATAATTCGAAAGTATGACAAAGATAGACGTAAAACCCTTCTAAATAGACTGGCGCATGCGCATAAAAGTGTGCAAGCGCAATAAAAACATAACCTTTTCCATTTAACGTTTATCGTTTTGTATACATACCTTTGATTATACAGGGTGATTCAAAAAACTGCTGACAGACTTCTAGAGTAGATAATACATGAAAAATTAAGATGAATAGTCTTAATATACATGGGGTCGCAAATGCCTCCTTATCGAAATATAGCGGGTGAAAGTTTCTTTAAAATTAAACATTATCTGCAATAAAAAGCACTTTTTTAAAAATATTACCTAACGCCATTGCTCTCTCGCGTGTAAAGTGGTCAATTATCTATCAATTGGTCTCTTACAAAATTTTGATCAAAGCAATAGTTTTTAAGAAAATTTGTTAATTCAATCAAAAACTGTTGCTTTAATCAAAGGTTTGTAAGAGACCAATTGATAGATAAATGATCACTTTACATAAAAATACTGCCCGTTTGACAAAATTAGCAGTGGAGTTGAAAATATCTTTAAAAAAGGGTTTTTTATTGAAAATAATGTTTAGTTTTAAAGAAACTTTGACCCGATATATCTCGTTAAGGAGGCATTTGCGACCCCATGTATATTAAGACTTTTTATCTTAATTTTTGATGTATTACCTGCCCTAGAAATCTGTCAGCGGTTTTTTGAATCACCCTGTATACATATAATTGGTTTATGTCACAGCTTTATGTTTAAAAATGTATTGTTTCGTGTGCAAAGTTATAATTATAAATTAATTACCGCCAAAATTAACGCATGCCTATTACATATCAGTACGCTTCTATATCTATCTCGGTTCGATCACCCTGCGCAAGCTATCTCTCTCGTTGGCTCAATCCATATTATATATAATCAAAGATTCGTAATCTTCATAAAATAACCTTTAAAATGAGTCCAAACATGACGCACTTATCTCAAAAAACAAAAAAGTTAGAATAAAAAACATTAAACCGGAAGTTGGCAACAATGAAGTTAGCAATTTAATTTTTAAATATTAATACCAACCTTAATTTCTGATTTTTTTTTATTAAATCGGAGAATAGATTTC